AGGGCCTTTGGAAAATTCCACCAGGCCCCCTCCTGGAAGAGAAAGGTCATGGAGCACCTAGGCACCCCTCCCCTCCTGAAAGAGAGAGGTCATGGAACACATAGGCACCCCTCCCCTCTGGAAGGGAAAGGCTGATTACATTCCTCAAGAAGACCACAGAGGGGGGGACCAACCATTGCTCCACCCCTCCCCAAGCCTCCCTCCCCAGATAAGGGAAGCCCTTGCTACCTCATTCCCTAAGGACCAATCAGTTTAAAAGTCACACTATTCTGCCAATCACAATGTGCCTAGTAGCTGTTGCTCTATTCTACCCCTGAAAAGTGTATAAAACTGGCTGAACAGGCTGCCCGGGGGAGGCAGAGTTGGCATTGCCTTTCCTTTGGATGCAGGATGACCCCAACACGCTGGAACAATAAACTCCTCTTGCTTTTGCATCAGTCCCTGGTTCCATGTGGTTCACTCAGGGAGTCCTGGTACCTAAGGCTTACCAGAGTGTTACAAAAGCAACAGGCAACTTGGGAGGAATTGCATAGAAATGGCTGGGAGGAGTGGCTGGAAACTCAAGAGAGAACATAATGATATTCTTTACCTCCTTCTTTGATGGACTGTCAACAATCTTAATCCCAATCATGATGGACTCTTGAAAGTAGTCACAACTAATGTGATGAAAATGGAGAGTGTATTGCATGAATGAAAGGTCCACATATAAATGCTACAATATTTTATAAAAGAGACTAAATAACCCCAAATATGGTAACTGTTGCATTTCTATGACATAAAAATATTTTTTCTAGGGTAGGCAAAATGACTCATCAGGTAAAGTTCTTGCTGTGTAACCCTGATAATCAGAGCCTGCCAAGCATAATCAAGCCTCTGTAAGCACAAACAAAAAACTTAGCTGGGTGGGATCTCCTGAGATCACTGCTCCCTAAACTCTTTGTCTTCCTTAGTGTCTTTCTGACCAGTTGGCTCAAAAAGCAGCTGTTTTTGTTCTTTTGGATTCATGAAGCCCTTCATATAATTCATACTATCATTATATTTTGCATAGTTGAGAAATTATATTGTTTTGAACTCATGTTTTTAGAGTTCTTTCCCACAGCCTTAAGGGCTGTCTTGAAGGTTCTAGCATTTGCTAGTTTGCTAAAATATTATTCACACCTTTGCCTCCAGGACTCATGCTGTCTCTGATTACCATGGAATCACTAAAGCTAACAGAGAGGATATTCCTTGAAGGAGAAATGTGAAAATATGTGCGTTATTATACAAACAAGCCTTACGCCCTTAGCAGCTTGTGGGCAGGAACCAACTCATTCCACCCCTACTAAGGCCATGCAGGACCTGGCAGTTCTTGCTGTATCACCTTGATAACCAGCATCTGGTTCCCAGAACTTACATAAAGATTGAAGGAAAGAAGTCGGGTCTGGTGGTACATGCCTTTAATCCCAGCACTCAGAAGGTAGAGACAGGTAGATCTCTTTGAGAAAACTGTCTCAAAAAAAATAAAGACTAAAGAAGAGGTACAACTAGAGAAACAATGTCACAAAGTTGTACAAGACTCTCTACATGTGCTTCATGTGCACCATGGCACATGTGCCTATACACACATCATGCATTCACACACTAATAAATATTTTAAAATATGCTAGTGGTACAATGTTAAACATATTCTAGATTTTAAGACTTTGAATAAAAAGTATAAAGTATCTAATAAATACCAATTACACTTGGAAATTACATTTTGAGTATGTAGAATATGATAGTTCGTATATGCTTGGCCCAGGGAGTGACACTTATTAGGAGGTGTATCTCATTGAAATAGGTGTGTCACTGTGGGCGTGGGCTTAAATAACCTTGTCCTGGATGCCTGGATGCCGTATTCTGCTAGAGGCTTTCAGATGAAGATCTGAACTCTCAGCTCATCCTGTACCATGCCTGCCTGGATGATGCCAGGCTCCCACCTTGATGATAATAGACTGAACCTCTGAATCTGTAAGCCAGCCCCAATTGAGTATTATCCTTGTAAGAGTTGCCTTGGTCATAGTGTCTGTTCATAGCAGTAAAACCATAAGACATAGGGTTAAATAAGATTCCCTCTGTTTTCATTAATTTTTAAAATTTTCATAATCTGTTTATTGGAAAACTGAAATGTACAGAGGTAGTCTGCTTTCTATTTCTATAGCGCAGTACTGGTGTAAAAATGAAATTTGTTGAAGGCTACAGAACTGGTTTGTATACAGAAGGGCTACTGATTTCTTTGAGTTAATGATGTGTTCAGGCACTTTGCTGAAAGTGTTTATCAGCCTTAGGAGTTAGGAAATAAAGCTACAAACCAAGGGATACAACCTCTCCTGGAACAGGAAAGGAATATTGTCTTATAGAACTTGCTAGCACTTTGACTTTAGCCCAGAGAAATAAGGTATCAGACTTTTAAATTGCAGAACTATGAGAATAAATCTGTTGTTTTAACTTGTCATGAATGTGGGTTACTCTCTTGTTTTTTTCAGGCTAAAGTGTGGTAATAGATTTCTAAAATTGCTAAGTGTTCATGCTTCACATCCATTGGTTGTGTTTTCTTCAATTAAACTGCTTGGGCTTGCTATCAGCTCTTTGCTGGGACTCTGCAGCCCTCAAAACATCTTCCTTCACCAACAGTAACTGACCCTTGGGTTCCTGATTTTCTTGGTCAATCTAGGGCCATCAAATCCTCAGGAGTATAGAGTTCTAGAATTCCTTTGTCATGGACTTGTTTTCAGGGTTAATTTCTAGAGGCTGAGGAAAGGATGAATCCTGTTTAGGAGATTCCACGGTCCAGGCCTCTGGAAGCCCATCTGAGACAGAGGATCCAGAAACAAGTCTGACCTGACTCTGAGATGCTCCTTCTGTCCTCCTTCCACATCAAATTCCTATAGAAATTTTTCTATAGCCACATCGAGCTTAATTATATGTTTTTCCTGCACTGGAACCTCTGGAACTAACGTTACAGATAGACGTGAGCCTTGTGGATACTCGGAACCAAACCAGCTCTAAAAGAGCAACACACATTCTTAACCACAAGCCACCTCTCCAGCCCCCTAATAACAATTTTTTGGTTTTTCGAGACAGGGTTTCTCTGTGTAGCCCTGGCTGTCCTAGAACTCACTCTGTAGACCAGGCTGGCCTCCAACTCAGAAATCCGCCTGCCTCTGCCTCCCAAGTGCTAGGATTAAAGGTGTGTGTCACCACTGCCCGGCCCTAATAACAGTTTAAAAGAGGAAAAGTTAATGGAATTTTTCCCTCAACATTAACTTGTTCTGCCATATTTTTAAAATATCTTCTAGCACTAACAGACTAGAGGATGGAAGATCAATAATTTTATGGTGTTTAATAGCATTTCTTCATCTCCAGGAAGTATCCATATTCAGAATTCTATAGAAAAACAACCTATATAACAGCCTGACCTGAAGCTCAGTTATCTACCTGCCTCTGCCTCTTGAGGGCTAGGATTAAAGATGTGTAACTACCACTGCCCAGCTAACAATCCTGATTTCTGATGTCTATGCATGATTTCCAGTTGAAAACCTGAGCTGCGTTGGTGGATGGTAATAGCAGAGGATGTCCTCACTTCATCATCTGAAGTATGGTCCAGGCTGGGATTCAGCACCCACTGTGGGCAGCACACAGCTGCCTGTTCCAGGCCCTTTTCTGGCCTTCTAGAGCACCTACACACACATGCCATTCACTCACACAAACCTTGTCGACAAATAGTCTAAATTTGGATCAATACAGAGGAAATTGTCATGGCCCCCTGTATATCCTTTTGCTTGCTAAATAGTGAATTTATTCATTCAAAGCAAAGCACGGCTAATGTAGATCATTCTGTTGGATGTATAAAACACTGATATCTGATTCTGATACAAGGAAACCAAGTATAAGAGAAATAAGTTGTGGCCTAGTTTTTTCCCTTTGGTGAAGCAAATCAACCTGCCTCCCAGAGCTCGAGAGAATCTGTATTAACAGGATGACCCTCAAAAGCTCCATTATGTGGACTGAATAATTTGTGAACAGCCAAAGGGGAGAAACAACTAAAGGAGTGCTCAACTGTTCTTTCCAAGGTACAAATTAGAAATTGACCAGACAGCCAAGTGTAGTGGCACATGCTTTTAATCCCAGCACTCAAGAGATAAAGGCTAGCCTAGTCTATGAGTTCTAGAACAGCTAGGGCAACAGAGATTATGCCTCAAAAAGTGAGGATTGGGGTTGGTAAAAAAAATTTTTTTTATAAAGCCTGGGCCAATGCTTGGACAACTGAATGAGTCTTAAGCACAGCCTTGGCACTAGAATTTTGTTTCCAGTTGTTAGGACGGAAACATTTCCAAATTCATAAACTGAAAACTTACTCTCCAGTATGGTGCTATTAGGAATGAGGGTCTGGAAGATTCAAGCATCGAACACTCAAGAACAGGACTTTATAAAAACCTCTTTCTTTCTGTTTTCTGCCATGTAAGAGCATAACGTAGCTGACTACAGCCAGAAAGTGGACCCTCTTTAGACTGTAACCTCCACAACAGTGAGAATGACAATTCTGTTGCTTAAACCATATCTAGTGCATTGGTTACTGTAACCCCAACCAAGACACTATGTCCAACCAGAGTTAAATAGCAGTACATGCTGTAGAAGCAGACTCTAGTTGCAACTCCCAGAAAATTTAATTTAAAGCTAGAACAGGAGATGCTGATTTTTAAGATAAGGATGCATTGTGCTGTGTAGTCTACTTTAGAGTCCTGGGCAGTGACCTTCCCATTCAGCCTAAAAGGCTAGAAACAGGTACAGAGGAATGAGCCTGCTACCCAATTTTAATAGTCTGCAGCAAATGAATTTAATTGCATTTTACAATTAGTTTTATTTAAGGACCAATTATCTGAATAATGTAAGTGCATTAGAACAGGAGCAAACCAAATTCCTAGTTACTAAAGCACAATTTTTTTCTACTAGCAAAACATGCAAAAAAAAAAATCCACACATTGTAGATCCAAGACAAAAATGTGAATTTATAGTACTATTTATGAATATATTATAAATATACAAAACTGAGTATAAAACTCCAAGCTACCTTTCAAATCATCTCTGAATCTTTCGTTTGCCTCACCTCATTTACAGAAGAAACTTAAAGCATCTGTCACAATGTTGTTTTAATAACATACTTGGATTAGTTCAGCCCAATGGACTCTCCATCCCATGCGATACAGAAAATTTTAAATACTTTAAGGAGTTCCCCATCCCACTCTGATTCATTACTATTAAGACCAAAGTGAACAGAGCAACTATGTTAATGATGTTCCTATAGCAGCCAGAGCAGGGTGCAATCTCTGGTGTTTGGTGAGAGCAGAACGATATCTGAAGGCTTTTCCACAGTCCTCACACCCAAAAAGCTTCTCTCCTGAATGAATCGTCTGATGCTGAGTGAGGTATGTGTTCTGGCTGAAAGTCTGTGGGCACTCATTAGAGTTGTAACGTTTCTCTCCAGTGTGAGTACTCTGATGTTCAGTCAGGTGCATGCTCTGGGTAAAGCATTTCTCACAGTCTTTGCACTTATAGGGTTTCTCTCCTGGATGAATTCGCTGATGCTGAGTCAGATGGGAGCTCTGGCTGAAGGTTTTTTCACATTTGTTACACTGGTAGGGTTTTTCTTCTGTGTGAGTTTTTTGATGTTGAGCAAGAGATGAACAGTGTCGAAAGGCCTTACCACACTTGAGGCAGGCATACGGTTTTGCTCCTGTATGAATTCTCTTGTGTTGTGTAAGGTGTATTTTCTGGTTGAAGGCTCTCCCACATTCATTACACTTGTAAGGTCTTTCACCAGTATGGATTTTCTTATGCTGAATAAGGGATGAGCCATAGCTGAAGGTTTTCCCACATTCATGACATTGATAAGGCTTCTCTCCAGTATGGATTCTTTCATGCTTAGCAAGAGATGAACTCCGAATAAAGGCTTTCCCACATTCTTTACATTCATAGGCTTTCTCCTGGGTGTGAGTTTTCTGATGCTGATTAAGGTTTGACAGATAGCTGAAAGCCTTTCCACACTCACTGCACTCAAAGGGCTTCTCTCGAGTGTGAATTCTCCGATGCTGAGTAAGGGATGAGCAGTAACTGAAGGCCTTTCCACAATCGCTGCACTTGTAGGGCTTCTCTCCTGTATGAATTTTCAGATGCTGAGCAAGGGACGACCAGTAACTAAAGGCTTTCCCACATTCTGCACAGTCATAGGGCTTTTCCCCAGTGTGAGTTTTTTGATGCTGAGTCAGGTTGGAGTGCTGGCTGAAAGCTTTGCCACATTCATTGCACTCATACGGCTTTTCTCCAGTATGAATCATATGGTGACGGATAAACGTTGACGGGCCATTGAAGGCCTTCCCACATTCGTTACACTTGTAGGTTTTCTCCCCAGTGTGAATTTTTTGATGTTGAGTGAGGTGTGTGCTCCTGGTGAAGGTTTTTTCACATTCCTCACATTTGAAAGGTTTCTCTCCTGTATGAATCTTCTGGTGCTCCATAAAGTGACCTCTCTGGCTGAAGGATTTCCCACACTCATTACAAGTATATGGCTTCTCACCAGTGTGAATTCTCTGATGCTGAACAAGATGTGTCCTCTGACTAAAGGCCTTCCCACATTCGTCACATTTATAGGGCTTTTCTCCAGTGTGAATTCTTTGATGTTGAGTGAGAGATGGGCCCTCAATGAAACCCTTTCCACACTGGTCACATTTGTACGGTTTGTCTCCCGTATGGATTCTCTGATGGTTTATAAGGTTTTCACTTCTGCTGAAAGCTTTGTTACAGGCATTACATTTATAGGGTTTCTCTCCAGTGTGCGTCCTTTGATGGCGAATGAGAGCAGAGTAGTACGTGAAAGCTTTACCGCACTCGTTGCACTTACACAGCTTCTCTTTTTTAACTGGGTGGGAATTCTGCTTGGCTCCTGTTTTGGTGGAAGTCTGATTTTGAACTACTTCCGCTTGTGTTATGAGGCCTGAGCTCACACTGAGATCACTTGCACAAGTGAGTGCTGTTTTCTCAGTTACTTTGACTTCTCTTGGCAGCATCTGTTTGTTTGCTTGAAGCTTCTCTAAACTCCCATCATCCCTTTTGCTGTTGGTTACTACTGTCTCTGAGGACAGATGCTCTTCAGAAATGACAAGTTCTAGGGGTGACACACTATTTTCAGGTCTTGTCTTCCAGCCTGAAAGAAAATAAAATGTCAGTATTTTCTTGACAGAGAAAAGGAAAACTGCCCTTGTTGGTGATTATCTAATCCTTTGAAGGTTCTCAAATATATAACTTTAACATTTGAGGAGAAAGAGAAAGATACTAAGAAGAATAAACTGAAACTGGGAAGAGAATGCTTATTTCAGTTTCACAGATGATCTTTAAGGACAAATAAGAACGACATTTAAAGCAGTGGTTAAATTTAAGAGGTAAGCTGGGTATGTTATTATACATCCTTATCCTCAGCACCTGAGACTGATGTAGTACTACCACAGTGGTGGCCCCAGCCCTATTACAAGTGACACCCTTCTTTGGAGGTCTCTATACCAGCTTTACCCCACTGCTATAAGGTTGGCTGTAGCCACTGAAGGGTCAAAGATCTTTATGTATGACAAGCCCCATGTCAATTTGAGTACCATTGGCCACATGAAATCAAGGGAAAGACTATCCTGATCACCATCCACAAAAATTCTAGTCAAGGGAGGTGGGGCTAAGTTCAAGAAGTATGAGGTCATAGACAGTGTCCCAGAGGAGAGAGTTTAGGGTATCACCATCAATGCAGCCCATGTAGAGTACAGCACTGCTGCCTGCCACTATGCCCACACAGACTGGCCCCGTCATGCAGATTACTTTAATAACATAATCACAGCACTGCCCCTCTGGATGGCTGCACTCTGGTGGTGGCAGCTGATGACCCCATGCTCCAGACACAAGAGCACAGTGTCTAAACAGACTGGAGCAGACACTATCCAGGACTCAGATATGGTGGCAATCAGCAGAGCTGGAGATCCAGGAACTGCTCAATTAGCGTGGCTACGAAGGAGAGGAGACTCCAGCAATTATAGGCTCTTCTCTCTGTGCCCTTGAGCAACATCATCCTGATGTAGGTGTAAAGTCAGTGCAGAAGCTGCTGGATGCTGTGGATACTTACATCCCAGTACTTAGCTGGGACCTGAAGAAGCCCTTTCTGCTACCTCTAGTCAGGTTACTCTATTCTTGGCTGTGACACAGTGGTGATGGGTACACTAGAACATGGCATTCTGAAGAAGGTCGATGAGTGGGAGTTGCTGGGATAAAGCAAGAACATTAGCTTTTTGCTGAGAGGCAGAGACCTTCCATATGCCTGAGTCCCTGGAGAGGACTGAGGCAGGGGATTACCTGGGTGCTCTGATACAAGGCTGGAAGTAAAAAGCTCCAAGGGATGGTCTGGTCATGGTTAAGCCAGAGTCTATCCAACCCCACCAAAGGTGGATATCCAGTTTTACTTCCTAAGCAAGGAGGAGGGTGTCTCATTTTATGCCTGTCATGTTCTCCCTGACTTGGGACTTGGCCTGTCATGTTATCTTGCCTCCAGGTAAGGAACCTGCCATGCCTGGAGAGGACCTGAAGCTTAGCATAAGCTTGTGGTAGCCCATGTTCTTAGAGAAAGGCCGGCACTTCACCTTGCAGGATGGCTACATGGCCACTGGCACTGTCCTCATCACTGAAACCCCTGACATGACAAAGGGGAACAAGAACCACAAATGGAGAGGGACTGAACTTCTGCTCAGGTTTTTGATCTTATGACTCCCTGGGTCATAAGTCCCTCCTGTGGACACAGCTGCAGCCAAGCAGTGTACAACAACAGACATTAACAGACATTTCTGCTTACAAGAAGCAGCCTACCAGGTGAGGCTGGTAACCATGATTTAAAAAAAAAAAAAAGTAACTGGAGAGCACTGAGTAACCGGAGAGCACTGAGGGCACAAAGAAAAGGGCTGACTCTGAAGGGTGCAGTCTGAATTGAGGTTCCTTGTTAATAAACAGCATAGGAAAGTTTTAAGAATGGTGATTTAAATTCAGGACAAATAGGAGAGGCTTAGCCTGGAACCCTGAATCCATATTTACTAAAAATTAGGAGTTTAAATAGGAGAAGAAATGTTAACAAATTCAAGTATATCATTTTGGAATTTGGGAAAGAAATGGAGGACTAGACTATAGGCGTGTAGGAATGGAAGATGCCAAAAACAGCATTATAATAGGATGTTTATGTCTAAGATATGAAATTCTAGCTTACGAGGAAAGAAAATAGTTGAAGCCATAGGAATGTGTATGTGAAAAGGAGAGAGGTGAGGACCACCCTTGAGGGGTAGAGAACAGAAGACAACACTTTCCCACCAGAACAAGTAGGAAAGAAAAGACTCTTGTACTGTGGTCTAGTCACAATCACTGCAACCATGAACAGAATGGCAGACCCCGAGCTGCCCACATCTCCTGCCCATGTCTCCACAGATAATGGAATAGCATGTGTCAGTGTAGGCAGCCTCACAGTGGCAGAAATTCTTCAGTGAGAACAAGGTCACGTGTTTCACAGGTATGCTTACACCAACAAGAAATATGTTTGTTTATACAGCAAATATACCCAAGGAAATATGTTTATACAGCAAATAACCATAAGGAATATCTTCTGAGGCTGGTGAAATGGCTTAGGTGGCAAAAGTGCTTGCTATTGCAGGGCCTGATAATTTGAGTTCAATTTTTATGACCCACATGGAATGAGAGAACTGACTATCGAGTTGTCTTCTGACCTAATATAAATGCACGCACTCCTGGCCAATACGCAAATAAAATAAAGGGAATAACGAGTATCTCCTAGATGTACTGTAGAAGGAAGGGCATGAGGGCTATAAAGTCTTGTGCTGTTAAAAAAAAAAAGAGAGAGAGAATGTGTTTGGAAGTGACCAGCCACAAATATGAATCATAAGAAGGCAAAGTAATATTAACCACAACCAATGTCCACACAATGTCATATTCTCAATTCAATGATTAACAGAATTACCTGGGCAAAGAATGAAGGATTTGAAGATTTAGAGAAGGTTCCAAAATATGTTGACTACTATCGCCTCTCTCCCAAAAGCAATCTCTACTTTCCTACACACAAAAAATAATATATTCCTATACCCAATATGTGGAGAATTGAGGGTGTTAAAAACCAAGCTGCACAAAAAGCAGGCAGATCAGTCATACAAAACACTCATCAGGACTACAGATCATGTCTCTGAAAGAATGGCTCTCTAAGACATCCTCAGAAAAGAGGCAACTGGGGGCTGGAAAGGTGACTTAGTTAAGAACACTTATTGCTCTTTTAAAGGACCTGAGTTTGGTTCTAGAATCCACACAGTGGCTCAAAAATCACCTGAAACTGTAGTTCCAGCGGATGTGAGGATCTGTGTCAGCACCTATGTGTGGTTAAAAAAAACACACATGTAGGCAAAACAATCTCTCTCTCTCTCTGTCTCTCTCTCTCTCTCTCTCTCTCTCTCTCTCTCTCTCTCTCTCACACACACACACACAAATGGTTTTTTTTTTTTTTTTGATTTATTTATTTATTTTATTTATGAGTACACTGTCGCTGTCTTCGGACACACCAGAAGAGGGCATCCAATCTCATTACGGATGGTTGTGAGCCACCATGTGGTTGCTGGGATTTGAACTCACGACCTCTGGAAGAGCAGTCAGTGCTCTTAACCGCTGAGCCATCTCTCCAGCCCCCAAATGTTTTTTTTTTTTTAAGTACAGTGGGAAATATTATTACTAGATGAGACCAAGAAGAGTAATACATCTCAGAGAGGACGGCCAAGGTTAGGACAATAATACATTCAGACACGGATCAAGAAAAAGAAAATTAATGAGAATAATCAAATCATCCACGAACTCTATGAACTCTGGGATAAGCTCAAGAGATAAAAATCTATGAATCTGGAGAAGAAGTGAGATAAAATCTAAAGGCACCATTTAATGAAATTATAGTAAAAAATTACCCAAGCCTACAGGGATTGGGGGGAAGGACATCCACCCACATACAACAAGCATATAGTACTACAAATAGACGTGAGATAGTCACAATGTCAAAATTACAAAAAAGCAGATTAAAAACTGTATTTACGTGGGAAAAATACCAACCCACATACATCAGAGAAATATCAGAATAACTGCACTCTCGTCAACAACCCTAAAAGTCAGAAAAGCAAGGGTTGATATTTCAAACCCTGGAAGTAAATTAATCACTTGGAGCTGTTAGGAAGGTTAGTTGTTTAAAGCACTCTTGCTCTTACAGAGGACCTAGGTTCAATTCCTAACACCCTCATGGTAGTTCACAACTATCCGTAACTCCAGCTGAGGCTATAGACAGCACACTGGTTACAAGCACTGGCTGCTCTTCCACAGTGCTGGGTTAGATCTCCAGAACCTACATGGAAGCTCATAGCTATCTTCAAGTCCAGTCCCAGAGGATCCAAAACTTTGTCTGGACTCTAGGGTCAGTACATAAATGTAGAACACAGATATACATACAGGCAAAACACTCATACACACACAAAATAATAAAATTAAAACTTTAAAAACTAGCTGAGCAATGGTGGCACACACCTTTAGTCCCAGCACTTGGGAGGCAGAGGCAGATGAATCTCCGAGTTTTAAGTCAGCCTTGTCTACGGAGAGAGTTCCAGGACAGCCAGGATTACATACATAGAGAAAACCCTGTCTTAAAACGCACCCCCCAAAGATTGTTATTCTCAGCAAAGTCATCTTTTCAAACATTTCAAGACAAGCACAACCTAAGGCAATTATGATACTGTAGAAGGCACTTAAAGGGATAGTATAGACTAGAAAAGGGAAAACAACACAGGAGCACATAGAGAGTACATTTATTTCATGAGGACAATCGATGTGCAAATGAGAGCCAGGAACAAACTCACCATGTCTAACACGGTAAACCAGAAAACTCCCAACATAGTAGGGAACAAAGAAAAGAACTACAGCAAGAGTCCACTCAGCCCAAACAACCAACAAAAACAAGACACTGAAAACTCTTCAGTAATAACTTCAAATGCTAATGGTCTCAATTCAGCAATATAAAAACACAAACTGACTGAATTAAGAAACAATATCCAACTATTTGTTGTGTATCAGAAACACAGTTTCCCAGCTGGGCGG